TCACGGACTCTCAGAGATCAATGCTCCGAGCCCTTGCACAAGCATGGTCCTAGAGCCTGCCGAATCATGCTCTCAGTGCAGACAAGCAAAATTGGGGGCCAGTGGTGCGGTTTGCGAGTTCTTTGCTTATTGGCTTGGCAACCCAAGAAACTCCGTCAAGAATTTGTTGTAGGTGCCTCCCACGGACACATACGCATGGTGTTTTTTCAGGCTCTGAAGCGCTCTCGTGACAGTTTTCACCCTTTCACGCATTTTTTGGACATTTTCCTGGTGACATAAAAAACCTTGCAGTGCCATAAAAAACGCGTGCAGTGCCGTAAAAAAGCGTAGCGCCCAAAACCGCCCCAAATTAGACCACAACACGTTCTAGTTTGCAAGTTTGCTTCGTCTTTTTCTTGGGTTACGTGCCCGTCCAGCAATGGCCAATCGCTTGCAGACCAAATCTCTGAGCTGCAGCAGCCTGTATGCTGGGCAATCTTTCTTGGAGAAAGAGGTCAAGAAGGAATGTGTGAAAGAGAACATAGAGGACGATCTCCGTGTAGCTTATTCGATTTAGACAGGAGATCCTCCAAGAAACTTGTATATCACATCATTATCACGTCCCGGATCTAAGGTGGCTGAGGCGACGCTTAACAGGCTCAGGGACAGGGCGAACAGCCTGCAAGCACGGCAGGCCTCGCCTGTGGTGCCACCGCATGCTGGGAAGTCGTTTGAGGACACTTTGGTGGACCCTGCTCCTGAACTTCGTGAAAGACCTGTTGCCACTCCGGCCCGTGCGTTCCAGTTACAGCATCAAGTCTCGTCTGATGCGCAGCCTACTGAGCAAGTTGTTTGGGACCGAGAGTTTGCAACAACTGATGATGCATCAGCCAACTCAGCCCCTGAACAAGATCGCCAAGAAGCACCTGCTTCTGTGAATGAAAGCGGGCCACATGCTAGTGATGATGATGATGATGATGATGAGCTTGTCGGAGATGTGGACCCTGAAGCTTGCCCTTGATTAATGTCTTGTACAATACCAAAATGTCTCACACACATGTGTATTCTCTGGTTTCTCTTTACTTGCAGTCGTGTCTCCTGAGGATGATTGGGAGCTGCAGGACATGCTCCGGGCAGCCAGCAACGGCTGGACCAACGAAGCCGGCGCAGTGCCTTGGATGGGGGAGTGATCTCTAAACCCTAAACCCTAAACCCTAAGCCCTGAGCCCTAAGCCCTCAACCCTAAACCCTAAACCCTAAACCTATAAATCCTAAACCCTAATATAAACCTTAACCCTAAACCCGAAACCCTACACCCTAATCCCCCCTAAACCCTAAACCCCCCTAAACCCTATATAAACCCGAAACCCTAAACCCCACATATAAACACACCCCATAAACCCTAAACTTCTTTTATCGCTACTGAGAACCAATGCTTCTGTGAGGAAGCGAACATGAATGAATCTGATGGGCTCATGGAGTGGGATTGGGATGGATATGGTGCAGCGGGCTTGGAAGAGCTGGCTCTTGAGCCGCCTCCGGCACCTGCCTCCATCCCGACAGCAGCACCAGAAGCCCCGAAGCCACACGCACCATCCCCTAAGGCAATCGCAGCACCCCCCACGTTCGCAGCATCGCCCAAGCCAAAGGTGCACACGCAGCAGCCTGCCCTCGCCCCAGAAGATGCAGCGAAGGTTCAGCTGAGCAACACTTCACGAAGCAAGCCAGCCCCGATCGCCTCAGTGTCCCCACAAGGCAGCAAAAAACGTGGCAGCCCAAAGGGTTCTTCCCCCTCTCCCACCCTACCTGATGATTGTTCGGAAACAGAGAGCGAGGACCAGGCTTCATCCCTGTCGACACACACATGTTCTACACTTCACTCATGTTTGTCGCTTCTGCCTTTGTTGGAACGCAGGAGAGGAGCCACAAAAAGAAGCCCATCATCTACGTCACGTCGAAGCAGCTTAGAAACTACGATGCCAAGCTGAGGAGAATGTGCAAGCCTAGTCCGAAACGAGGCACTCTCTCGGTATCCCCAGAAGTTGCGAAGCAGTGGCTGTGCAAGAAGTCGCGAAAGCAGCTGCTGCAGTGCTTGATCACCTCGGAAGGGAATGAGGCAGGGGACGGTTGTTATTGTTAAAGCTTCTATCCCTTGTAGCCAGTATCTTCTGTCAGTGTGCAGGATGTGCACGCATGGCGCATGGTGTGAGGATACTTTCAATGCCAAGATGAGCATCATCATCTCTAGCAAGAAGCAGAACAAGCTGAGCGTCGAAAGTGGCTTCTACTCGGAAAAGGCTATGAAAGACGACCTGGGCTTTGCAAGGCCCCTCAAATGAACAGAATCTGAACCCACCAACTTAATGCGGCCCAGAAATTTCCCACGCTTGCCAGGGAGAGGATCGCTGCTGTGAAGAAGTACTGCGGAGCCACGGCGTCTCGACGCAAGCGGCTGGTGCGGTTGCTCGCCTGCACAAGGTGGTGCTTCATCTGCCCTAAATTTGCCCTAAACCCTAAACCCTACAAACCCTAATACTATACAAACCTAAAGCCCTAAACCCTAAACCCTAAACGCTATAAACCCCATAAACCCTATAATCCCCTAAACCTTTTCTAGACAATCCTAAACCCTAAACTGTCTTGCAGTGAGCATCTGGCTTGGAGGGTGTTTGGCTGGGTCTTTGAGGCGAGACAAATACGAGCGGAAGGTGAAGGAATACTGGGTGGATGTGAAAACAAGTGGCTCCTCCGAGCACGTTGTGGCCGAAGAGGTGCTGCAGGAGTACCAGGTTGTGGACCCCAAGCTGAAGAGCCTGCCAGCCCCTACCTTGGGGAAAAGTCCTCGCCCCGATCTAGATGCGGATGGTGCTTCTTCGGACAGTGAGTCTTGTGATGAGGGTGCTGATGATGATGATGATGATGAGGAGGATGATAAAGAAGCAAGCAGCGAGGATGGCAAGGGCAAAGGCCAGGCCACGACAAGGAAGGCCAAAAGCAAGGCCAAGGAGGACCGAAAAGGCCCATCGAACCGTGGCCTAAAGAGGAAGAGAACAAAGGAAATGGAAGAGGCCCTGGAGGCCGGATCCTATCTAAACCTAACCTATTTTTTATGGTATTATATTGCATTATATATATATATACATATCTATCATATAGTATAATTAATATGATATCATAGAGTATAATAGAATATAATAGAATATAATAGAATAGAATATTATATACAATATTCAGTCTAATCAGAATAACAATATAGCTTCTCAAGTGCTGCAGGAGGTGGAGAACATCGACGAGGCCCTGACGCAGGTGCTCAACCTTTGCACCAGACTGGGCCAGACTATGGAGAAGCTCACTGGACGCGAGGGCAAGGATGCTGAAGAGTTCCCTGGCTCCAACCCACTTTCCTCAACACCGCTTTGTCCTATATCATTGTTTCTCAAGAGTAAGTCTTGGTAAGCTAAGGGCCCTGAACAAAGCGACTGAGCACGAGAAGAAGTTAATGCAGCTCCACGACCATCTCGCGGAGATCAAGTCAGAGCATTCTTCTGGCAAGGTGCCCGACAAGAAGAACCTTGTCTACTGAGTCTACTATCCATGTCACATGCGTTGCTGCCTGCTTCAGCTTCTTTGCGCACTCTTGTACTAAGGACGCAAGATTCCCTGAGAAACTACCTGGCCCAGATCGAGAAGCTGCCCCGAGACTCGTGTTAATGCTGTATATAAACACCCATCATCCCCTGCTTGGCCTGCGTTCAGTCATCTGCCGCGATGTCCGGGCATTGAAGACGACTTAGCTGAGGTCCAGCCGAATCACATTGGAAGACCGCAAGATCAAACGGAAGCTCGCTCGCTTTAGGGTTTTAGGGTTTAAGGTTTATAAGGTTTAGGGTTTAGGTTTTAGGGTTTAGGGTTTGGGGTTTTTTGGGTTTAGGGTTTAGGGTTTATATAGGGTCTAGGGTTTAGGGTTTATTTGGGGTTTACTATTAGGGTTTAGGGTTTATAGGGTTTAGGGTTATAAGGGTTAAACTTTTGTAAAAGGTTTAGGGTTTATAGGGTTTATAGGGTTTAGGGCTCTTGTGTGGACTCAAGGACCGTTCTCCGAGCGAGGAAAGGCGCCCCCAAGCCCAAGGCGAAGGGGAAGCCCAATGTAAGTGCGAAGGCAAAGGCCAAGCCTGCAGTAGTTCAAGTTGAAGAAGAGTCCGAAGAATCAGACCCTGAGCCCCCTGCCGTCCCAAAGAGGAAGCCCAAGGCTAAGGCAAAGAGTGCTAGCAAGAAGGCAGCTGGCAAGAAGTGAATATCGCATATTTGTTCCAGTTCTACACAAGCTGCTCGTAGCTACCGTGCTCTCCATCAAAGGCCACACCTTCTCACCGCTAGCGTTTTTTTGGCGCTTGTGGTTGCAAGGAACGCAATGCGCAAGTTAGTTTGCTACATTGCAGGATTGCTGGGGTTGTGATCCTGCTTTCGGCCCCTCGATCTGTCTGCTCTCGAGACAAAAGACCCGAGACTGAATCGCCAACACGATTGCCAGCCCACCTTAATAAAAGATCCAGAAATAACATGCTGCGAAGGTGCTTTGGCCCATGTCCGCAAAGATGCAGGGAAGCCGGGCGCTGCCTCAAAGGCGTTGGCCAAAGCGCGAGGATCAGGGGTGTCTTGGGTGTATACGTTGAGCGCCGCTGCTGTTTTGTAAACCCTACCCTAAACCCTAAGCCCCAGCAAGCCGAACGCACACGATCCTTGTTTTTCATCTTAAAGAAAATATACCACTGAAGGTCTCCGATCGGTTGCTTTGCCAGTTGGCTTCTGGTTTCTACAAAGAATGTCTCGCGGCAGACCCAGATGTTGCGGATACTTTGGCTAGCTCTTCGTTATTGGGGGAGCTCCATCGGCACTCTCAGACAAAACATGAGAACAATTCTGCGAAAGCGTTTCGAAAGCGGGGCCTTTCTTGCCCTATCACAACTGATATGGTGGAAATCGGCTTGAAGAAACCTCATCCTATGCTGAGGGTGGGGAACATGCTGCGAGTTCTCGCGTTGCATGGCAAGCTCCCGGCCCTGTGGGGAGGCAACCAGAGTGCCGTCGAGGTGCTTGCCAAATTTTGGCGTCGATTCCGCCAGCTGCACCCGTCGCACGCCATCTACACATACCACAAGAATCGGTTACATCAGGTGCTACCTCTGATGCTGCATGCTGATGAAGGGGAGACGTTGAAAAAGGCAGGCCTCATGGTGATTTCGTGGCAATCACCTGTGGGTGCGGGGATCTCCACTCAGACTGAGCCTACAGATATGCCTCTCAACTATGTTGGCAGCTCGTTCAAAACAAGGTTTTTGATATCAGTGCTTCTAAAGAGGCTCTATACGAAGCAGGTTAAGGAATCTTTAGACAGCCTCATGTCAATCATCGCAACTGACCTGAAGCAGCTCTTCGAGCAAGGGCTGCGGCTTGACTTTCCAGATGGCAAGCATCAACACTATTATGTTGCCTGGGTCGGCCTCAAAGGCGACTGGCCGATCCAGCAGAAGCTAGGCCATCTCCAACGTCATTTCTCGAGACTGACAACGAACGAGCAGGTTGGCGTTGGGATATGTCATTTGTGTGAGGCGGGACGACCTGGTGTCCCCCTACACGACTTCTCGGAACATGCAGCTTGGAGAACAACATTCTTGCGAACGTCGCCGTTTGAAACGATGGGACCTTTGGCTGACGTGCCACAGACGGCGAGCCCAGAGATGATGCTTCGGTATGATCCATTTCATACCTTGCACAAGGGCTGTTTTGCCGAGTTAGCCGGGAGTGGTCTTGTGTTCTGTCGAAAATCTCCATCCTTATGTTTCTTTTTGTATTCTTTAGCTGCAGAATTTTGAACAAAGAGTTTGTACACAACAGAGGTCATGATCATTGACTATGGGATCCTGGGGGACGATTCTGTTCCAAAGCAGCTGAACTCGCTCTACCAGCTGCTGCAAGAATTCTGCACGCGAACGAAGCATCCGCTGCACATGGATGGTCTGACTCGAAACCTACTGAACTTTCCGAGGGACTCCTCCTACCCAGTTGGGCTTCTTGGTTAGCGTGATGTTTTTTTTGTTTTTTACTTGGGTTCGGTTCGTGCCAAATGTTTTCTATTGGCCCCAATGTTTCCAAGGAGCTGGTTCAAGGCTGCAGACACCACTGCCGTCCTGGCTTTCTTAGAAGAATTCTTCCGGAACCATTTGGCTACTTTGGCAAATCCTGATCCATACTTGGAGAGTGCGCACGATGCCTGCGTCAACGCCAACATCTTCCTACGCACCTTGTATCGAAACGGGCTTTGGCTGCCTCTCCAGGCTACCACAGAGGTCGCCCAGTCCGGCTACAACTTCTTGCGATGCTATGCTGAATGTGCCCAGCACGCGTACAATCAGGGAAAAACCCGATACAAGCTACAGCCAAAATATCACACAATGATTCACTTTGCGGATTTCTACGGTACAGCTGCAAGGTCTCGACAGCGATTCACGTGGAACATTCTGGCTGATGGATGCCAGATGGACGAAGACCTGGTGGGTAAGGTGGCTACGCTTTCTCGTGCTGTCAATGTGCGTAGTGTTCACACAGACACGGTGTCTCGTTACCTGCTGAAGCTGTGGGAAGAGCCGTGAAAAAGTTAGCGCCGACCCATCCTGTAGATTTCTCTTGAATAAATCGGGCGCTGGTTCCGGGTCTTGTGTTGGTGCCACACATTTCGGTGCAGTGCCCCCTGTGCCCGTTATAAACGACAACTTGGTTTTCCAGGTAGGGTTCAGGGTATACAGGTTAAGGACGCTTTGGGGTTTAGGGTTCGGGGCTTGGCATCTATCCACGTGGGTGGAAGCCATGCCACAACTGCAGGCCGTCTGCAAGCGCCACTTCTCCATAACACGCCAGCCGCCCATAGCGCTCACAACCCCTCTCTTCAAGCCAGCTCACGCGCCGCCAGCCCACTGCTCATATGACTTTCCTTTGCTACTTTCCTTGCCCAAACCTTCGTGCCTTAAATATCGCCCACCCCTCTCTTCATGCCAATTCATGCGCCAGGCCTGCTGCAAGCATGGTCATCACAACCGGGATGCTCATCCACACTGCGGTATACAAGCAAAAGCGCACAGATACATGGCGCAGCCGGAGTCGCGACAAACAGCCGCTTCATCCACCTGCGAACTGGGGGTTTCCGAAAATCAGGGAACCCTAACATAGACCCCCCAAATAGTAGGATTCCTTACAATCAGGACCCCGATAAGGTACCCCTAGTTTCCGAAAGCCCCCCCAAAATCATGAGAGGAATCGCGACCACACTTCCCTGAAGCGGCGCCGAGCGCTTCGAGGACATGTGCCACGCAGTATACGTGGAGATCGACTTCAGGGCCTCGAATAGAAACCGAAACCCTGAACCCGAACCCTAGTTTCCTAACCCTTATAAATCCCTAACCCCGAACCCGAAACCCTATGTCCCTCAACCCTAAACCCGAAATCCCTAACCCTAAACCACAGCGCTAAAGCCGGGATTTCGGGTTTAAGGTTTAGGGTTTGGAGTTTTGGGGTTGGCTGTTTAAGGCTTGCGGGTTGTGGCTTCCGGTTTGGCTCTTTCACGCCACCGTAATTGATCCAGGAGCCCTGAGGTGCAGGTATGGTAGCTCAGTAGGGTATACGGAGCGTAAGCCCTAAACCCTAAACCCGAAGCCTAAACCCTAAACCCTAAATCTCAGAGTTTCGGGCTTCGAGCTCCTCATACGTCATAAGGGCCCCTGACTTACACACTTGTTTGGGGCTTTGGGCTTAGGGTTAAGGTTTTTTCGGTCCCAAGGTTTCGGGCTTCGGGGGTGATGCCTGAAAATCAGGGAGTGCAAGCTGCCAGGAGGTGAACATGGTGGTAGATTTCTAAATTAGGTTTTAGGGTTTAGGGTTACCCTTCCGTTCCCCCCCCCCCCCGCCCCCGCACACCCTAACTGGACAGCTGGAGAAGACATCCCGAACAAAAGCCTAGACCCGAATCACACCCTTCCAGAACAGGGTCACGAAACACCCAAACCTTGTCGCTTCACGGATAAGCCGGTCCTGACGAAGCTTCCGCTCGGCGTTGAGGCGATCCAGATTCGTCGAGTCATCCTCCCGCCGCATCGATCGGGATTTGAAGAATAAGGTGATGTCCCGAAAAAATCGAGAACCCGTTGCTCTCGTGCTCCTTTTGCTGGGCACTGCACCCCCCCCAACTACAAGGCATTACTCGGGTTTCGGGCACGGTTTAGGGTTGAGTATACTCCTTATACAGACCCAAATGAGGACCCCCAAATAGGGGCTTCCATAACATACCGCCTCACTACATATCATATGTCATATCCTGAATATTGGAATCCCAAAGTAGGTAATCCTGCACCCGGATACCCGAATTTTGGAAACCCTAAAACCCCAAACCCCCAAACCCCCAACCCTAAACCCTATGCGTAGCCTGAACCCTAAACCCCAAACCTAACCCCCCTCCCCCCTCCCCCCGATTTTGTTCGGAAAATCCTTGGCGTTCACCTTCTGAGGGCTACGATGACGCAGGAGCTCGATACGGCGAAGGGCCTCGCGAACTGCTGTGCCATGATATGAAGTAGGGCTTATATTCCTCGTATCTTCAATAGGACACCAAGTATATACGCTCACCAACATTAAAAAGCAATTATATGCACTCACCAAAACAGTAACACAAACCCGGCTTCACGTAATTTCCAGCCCTTTGGGCAGTCTGCTTTGAAAGCCTTTGTCTAGGGTTTCGGGTAAATGACAAATAGGGTTTAGGGAACACTTCGGAACCAAATCAAGTCTTTTAAGCCCTGTGTTTTGGGCTTCAGGGTACATAGGAAAGGATTTAGGGTTTAGGGAACCCGTCTAAATGAATGAAGCGATGGCCGCCGTGTACTACCCTCAGCCCTAAGCCCTGAAGTGATCGCCTGAAAAAAATCTAGGCTCGGGTCCCTTTAAACCCCAAACCCCAAACCCCAAACCCTAGCGGCCTCAACCACTAAAGTGGGAAGACCCCAGGAGTAGCAACACATCTCTATATCCTCCTAAACCCTAAAACCTAAACCCTGAACCCAGAACCCTAAACCATAAACCCGAATGCCCCCGAGTGCTCCTTCAAGCTAAGGCTTCCCAACACCCCCGCCCCGAAAAATGAATGGGAGTTTACGTAAATAAGGGACCCCTAGAATAGACCCCCATAGTAGGATCCCCTTATAATAAGGACCCTAACAAGGTATACCCCTACATAATTTCGGAAACCCCCAAATCCTTAAAGCCTTCAAAACCATAGTGTCCCCGAAGCCCTTAACAAACAGGCACCTCCGGTGTAGGGTTTAGGGTTTAGGGTTTGGGTTTTAGGGTTTGGGGCTTGGAGGTTGGGGTTTACGAGGGTCAGGTGTAGGGTTGCAGGTTAAGGCTAATACGGCTTAGCGCTTAGGGCTGCCGGGCTTAGGGTTTAGAGTTCAACCTTTATAAGGCTTTTTCGGCTCCAGCAGTACAACCAGATTCAGGCATGAACACAGGCGGCTTCAGCGTTTTCACCCAAACCCCTAAAATCTGAACCCTTAACCCTAAACCCTGAACCCTAAACCTAGAACCCTAAACCCAAAACCCTAAAGCAATCCTGATCCACGCCTCGGTCTGTGCATCGTCGTCCGCGCGGGACCAGCACAAGATCGGACCTCCATCCCGAAGCCCCGAAAGAAAGCACCCCTATCTTCTTTCAGTTTAGGGTTTAGGGTTTATTGGTTGACCCCTCAAGATGCCTTCCAGGTACAATGCCAGATGAGCATGTGAACATCGAGCTCGCGTCTGTCCCATGAAGCAAGAGCAGCGAACCTTGCCGCTTGGGCGAAAGATTGTCACCATGGCGAACTGAAGAAAGACTTCACAGTACTTAGAGACAAAGACACATTTTGCCTCAACCGAACCCAACCGAATCCCACCGAACCCAACCGAACCCAACCAGGCCTAAATTCAGTCCACCCAGATTATCTGCAAACCTAGCCTAACTTAACCTAAGCGGGGTTTCTGGTTTGTGGTTTAGGGGCTTGGGCTTTTGGATTTAGGGCATTGTCTCCCGCTCTCAGAGCAAGCGTTGCCTAACATCGAGCTCAGGAGCAAAGCCTAGGCAGGTTTGGGATTTTTGGGTTGCCCTCGAGGGTCGTCCGATAGATCCCCCCTGCAATCAACGGCAATACAACAACAGCTACGAAGTCCCCCTGAACCCTAAACCCTAAACCCTAGGAATAAACAGTGTATTTTGTTGGTTTAAATTAAAGGGGCCTATAAGCGAACCCAAGCCCTACAAAAAGTGCACAAGGGCCTACTCTGGGTCCTTGACAGCTATCCTGGCCTGGTGCGGGATTGGGGTTTAAGGCTTAGGGTTTATGGTTTAGGGTTTCGGCAGCCGCGTTAGTGATGAAGCTTCCGAGTTTCAAGGTTGGCTTCGGAAATTGGTCATGAGAACAAGCAAATGATTGGAGTTTAAGAAGAAGGCTCAGGGAACTGAGTCGCAAGTGACTTAGAAGTCGAGTTTTGAGTACCCTAAACCCTAACCCGCCCAACCCCTAAAACCCTAGGCCCTAAGCCCTAAACCCTAAACCCTAGACCTTAGACCCTAAACCCTAAACCCTAAACCCGGAGCTGAGCTTTGAGTAGCACACCCTATCCCTCCCCCTCCCCCAGCTATACTACAGTCCCAAACCCTACGTAAACTCACAAACCCTAAACCCTGAACCCCAAACCCTAAGCCCCAAACCCCCCAACCCTGAACCCCAAACCCCAAACCCTAAACCCCGAACCCTAAACCCTAAACCCCAAACCCTAAACCCTCAAGTCATAAAAAGGGAAATTGGGCCACCAAAGCCTCTGCTAAATCCATGAGGCGGTTTAGGGTTTAAAGGGTTTATAGGGTTTAAAGGGTTTATAGGGTTTTTAAGGGTTTATAGGTTTTTTTGGGTTTTAGGGCCTTTAGGGTTTATAGGGTTTTTAGGAGTTTTTAGGGGTTTACAGGTTTTTTAGTGTTTTGGGGTGTTTTTCGGGTTTTTGGGGGGTTTTAGGGTTTGTAGGGTTTTTAGGGTTCTTAGGGGTTGTAGAGTTTTTGGGGTTTTCGGGTTTATAGGGTTTTTGGGGTTGTTAGGGGTTTTAGGGGGTTTTAGGGTTTTTGGGTTTAGGGTGTAGGGGTGACTACGTGAGTGAAGCACCGAATGGGAAAAGATCCATAGGCGCTTGGGTCGATAGCACCCCAAACCATGAAAAGGGATCAGGGATCAGGGATCAGGGATCAGGGATCAGGGATTAGGGTTTAGGGTTTAGGGTTAGCGTGGTCGGGTTAGAATCACTTAGACTTAGCTACACGAGGCGCCCCCCAAAAACGAATCCAAGGCAAACCTCTCCGCGAAGCGTTCCACCCCAAAACCCTACACCCGAAACCCCAAACCCTAAACACTAATCCCCACACCCTAAACCCTAAACCTATGAACCCTAAACACCCTAAACCCTAAACCCTAAACCCTAAACCCTGAACCCTAAACCTGAGCACCCCCAAAGCTGCCTTCGGCAGAAGGGTATGCCGGCGGCGTTCGAAGCTGGAGCAGGTCCGTTTGAGTCGAAGCCT